AAAGCGGTGAGCGTTTTCGAGAACGAAAATACCGGCCGATCTTTTTTTTTTCAAGTTGATAGCTCTTCCTGGCACTTTGATCAGAGTAGGCAAGAGACAGGACAGATGGGATGGTAGTTCTGCGGCAACATCTTCTCCTTCTTTGTTTTCGCAACCATAATTAGAATAACCTATTATTAAAGATATGTCAGCACATGGATCTTCAGATATAAGGATATTTGTGATAATATTCATTTTAATAGTTAAAAAGGGAACTCCTTACTATCCTGTTCAAATGGATTTGCTGGGTGTGCAAGAAAACAACTGAAAAATGTTTAGAGACAGGTGGTTAGACTAAGAATGCCCTTCTATTAATGTTTCGAAATCCTCCACTGAAAATATAGATTATTCACCTTCACATATAGGTACTTATGAGCAAGATATGTGAGACAAAACCACCGATTAGCCCCGAGTGACATACTGAAACCTCAAGTGTGTCACAATATGGATGTAAAATCAAATTTTTCTCAGGCTACATCGCTTTTTCCAGCTTCAGGCTGTCGAATGACCCCAAAGGATGGTCAGGATCGGAAGGGGTGCAGAAGGAACCGATGTCAAATGTCGGGGTCGCTCCCCATCAGATCCCGAATTATGATATGAAGTTGTAAGTCTTGCCAAATCATAACTAGCCAAAGTCTTACTCTTACTATAACATAAGAGACAGCAATGGAAACGCGAGTCAGAATTTTCTTGTCTTCACAATTTAACCACAAAGCTCACAGCCAATTCTCAACTATGTTGGACGTTCGATCAATCAACGGTTTACTGTACTTCTGCTTCTCACTCTTCACTATTACCCAATAAATGTAATCTCTAGACTGAGCCGGAAACATGCCGAAACCTGTAGAACAGCCAAAAACCGAGGTCACTTTAACATTGCAAACTAAAATTCTAATCCAAAAACATCCAAATACCTCACAAAAAGTTATGAGGTTTTCTACAGCGAGAGAAGTGTGGGTTGAATTGAATAGGCTCTTTGATGGCAATGTCGAGGACTAAACCTATGATGTTTGCTTAGAATTCTTTAACTATAAGAAGAAAGTTGAAGATGATATGTCAACGCACACTTCTAAGCTCAAGAACCTGTGGAATGAGCTGCAAAAGGGGTTATCAAAAGACAAAATCATTACAAATAAGGAACATGTAATTGTGACTTACCTACCTGAGTTGTTGTTAATCTGTAGGATTTTAGAAACCCTACCCCAAGACTACCTACATCTCCTTCAACTCAAGCTGGATGTTTATGTCGAAATCTCATGAGAAGGCATTATCAGACAAGAATAATGAAAGTCATCAGGAGGCGTTACTTGCAGAAAAGAGAAGCAGCTCGACCAATAAGAAAAAACTAGTATGCAATTAATGCAAAAGAGAAGGTCATAGGGTCAAACAATGTAATAAATGAAAGATGGTAGACCTCTAAAACCAGAAAGTTCAAATTCAAGAAATAAGAGAACACAGAAAAATAAGGATAAAAACATGATGTTAGTTGCCTTAATTAGCGAATGTGAGGAGAATAGCTGGTTTGTGGATAATAGAGCTACAAAGTCATATTACAAATCGAGGTGATATCTTTGAAACATTTGAATTTTTTCAAGATACACACACCATAATGACAGCAAATGGAGAAACAGTTAGAGCACTTGGTAAAGGAAATATTCTGGTACAAACAAAAGTTCACGACAGAGAAGATGTTTTGACGTTATCAGACGTATGGTACGTTCCTCTGATTAAAAATAATTTATTTTCGGTTTTACATGCCCAAGATTTACAGCCTACATCAAAGTTTACTTCGAGCACTAAAAAATGCAGTTTTATAGTTGGTGGTTAAACAATACTGACAGGTGGAAGAAGTAGATTTGGAGGACTGTACAAACTAGCATTGCAGATTATAAAGCCAAAGGAAACAGCTCAAATCAACATAGTTTCAAATGATAACTTATTGCAACTATACCATGAACGCTTAGGTCATCAAAACAAACGACACATCAGAGATATTTTGAGTCGTGAGTTTGACCTCAAAGTGACCTTAGACAGCAAAATATGTGAGGGTTTTATTTATGGTAAAATGCACAGGAAAAAGTTCGGAACGAGAAAAAGAGCAAAGGTATCAGGAGAACTCTTACACACAGATGTTTGTGGGCCTTTTGAAAAACCCAAAAGTGGCTATAGATACTTCGTGCTCTTCAAGCTGAAGTTGCGGGAAAACTGACAGTTTATGTTAACTGAAGTAAAAACAGTAGCACATACAGTAAAAGAGGTTCTCAGATAATGGTGGAGAATTTGACAATGGTCAAGTAAGAAAAATTCTACAAGAAAGTGGAATCAAACAGCCTGTTTTTTTTTTAAGATAATTCCCCAAGTCAAAAATTTAATAACTATGTTGGCAACACAAGCCTTTTCTACATAAAAAAATTGAAAGCATTGACAATTTTACATTGTATTGCCAACATAATATCATTTTGACTTTTATCTTTTAAAAAAACACAGACTTTATGTGGTACTAAGGGCGGGTATTATAAAACTGCTTTGACAGTTAACTTGAAGTTAACTTTTTGAATTACATGTAATTTCAGAAGTTAACTTTAAGTTAACTCTCAAAGTAGTGTTATAATACCCGCCCTAAATCAATTTCCTTCAATATAAGCAGCTATGAGATTTCGTCGGTTGGCACATGCTTGATTACTAATGACGGAATTGATGATAAGCTCTGCCTCGCATAGCGATGCTCTGGCCATTCTTCATATTCTTCTGTGATTTTGTTGTTTTGTTCACATTGACAGACGAGATTACTTTGTAAAGCGTAGATAAAAAGGTAGTTGGGCTGAAAGGTAGTTAAATTTTCTCGTCTATCTTGCAGAAAATAAGTGGGACAGAATAATAAGGATGAAAATAAAGCAATACAAACTAGACAGTCAAAAATCTGGATTATAATAGTTTATGTCCAACTCGCGCATTCAAGGATTCCATAACAAATGCCAAGAAAAATGTTATAATGTGTCCTGTCCGAACAAAAGCCGAAATATTGCTGGCAATACCCAGAATGCAGTAATGCACATAAACCAACAACCGAAAATAAACTATTTGTTTAAAATCCTGGCCGCCATTTCATAACAATGTATTTTGCATTTAAAATAATAATACAAACCATTAAAATTCGTTTAAATGCCAAATATGCGAAACGAGCATAATAGTAATATTTCTCACGTGATATTTCGTACTATATCGTAAAACACACCTTTACGTATTTATTTTTAGTCCGGAAAATGATTAAATCTATGGGAAAATGAACTTTTACAGAACTGAGTTCCGTAAAATTTTGGTACTGATATGTCAAATTCAAACTTCACTTCAGTAAGGGCCGGTATTATAAAACACTGAACCGATGGTTGAGTTTCAAGCTTCGGTTGAATCTTATCAATTTGCATGGAGTCAACCGAGGGTTGAAACTCAACCATCGGTTCAGCGTTTTATAATACCGGCCCTAAGTACCACAGGTAAGTAGGTACTGACTGTCTCCACTAGAAAACAGCTACTTGTTACTGATGCAATTTAAAAATACATTATTATTTCAAAAAACAACTTAGTATGAAATAAAGTAGGTATTGTACCTATGTTATTCATCCGCGAAAAATTTCACAGTGTTCTTCTCACTCATACTGTAAAAGTTTATTTTACTTTTTCATAACGTAAATATCTAATACCATACATAAATAAAAAAGGACATAGTGCATCTCTTCATTAGATGAACGCTATTATAGCTATGTACAGCCCCTATAGTGAAGTGTATAATTATTTATACTTATATATAACCCATGTATGTAAGGTCAGATCTCAGATTAGAAATGAAAATGATTTACTTTGTTATTATTTCGAACGCTGGTCGAAATCGGTTGTTGAAAATCGTAGAAAAACATATACAAATTTCAATTTACAAAATGAAGCGATTTCATAATAATAGTTTTGAAAGATAACAAAAAATATTGGCAAGCCTCAGCGACCATGAAAATGCATTTGTGCATCTTTCCTTTGATGTGGCATTTATGAAAAAAGGCTTTTAAATTTAGAACATGATATGTGTTGAATAAATGGACAGGATGTTGCAGTTATAGATAAATAATTTTAAATCTAATACATTGAAATGGACCTTGGAGTCGGATTATACTATCATAGTCTTTCTCGATTTTGTTCAAATTTTCGACTACAATTTACTTAAATAAAATTCAAAAATTAAAACATACTTTCGTAAGAACATAAAGACATCGACGAACACTTATATCCCGGAAAATACCTTCACTTTCACAATCAGGTGTGTTATTATTCTTAAATTGTATGTTTTATTATAATGATATTTGAATATGTAGCATTTATATAGGTGATTTTCACGAGTAACAAAACAGTCCGAAACTAACAGTTTTTAGCTTTACCTTAATCTTATTTTTGAATTATATACCTTCAACTTCTATTCAGGCTTCCTCGAGATAGATAATAAGTCTTTCTTCGTTCTCATTTTTAAGTACTTACAGACTTTCGATAGTTTTCAGAAATGAGTTGTTATCTTCTTGATTATAAAAGACGATAATATCTAATGCTAAAAAACATTTCTATTACGGACAAAAAAATTATTAAGTAATTGAAAACAATGGTGAAAACCGCATTCTTTCATCTCTTGTTGTTTTGAGGATATTATATAAATATTGAAATGCTTCAGTTTTGGCTGGGACACCTGGTATTCGAAAAGCACCGATACTGATAATTTTATAACACTTGTAAATGATGAATGGCCCAAACCTACCCATAGACACTAGTAACACTTTATTGATGACTTTCTTCTTTCAGCATCTGTTATTCGATATTATTCTCCAATTATTTCAGATATTGCTTCATTGAAAAAGTATAACAATAAATCCTACCCACATAATTAAACAAATCTTTCCCAAGCTAACTCAAACTTTTATTTTCAGATAGAATGTCGAATGGCCCCACCGAGGCGACATGAGCTCCCCCGTAGGGGAGCCAGGATCGGCAGCACGCGCCGCCGCCGCATCCGGAGACTGCGCAGCCTTGGGTCGGTTGCTGCCTGCGCGAGGACCCGCGCGGTTCACGCGCGACTCCCTCGGCCGCACTGCCATACATTTGGCCGCGGCAAATGGTCGGGCGCCGGCACTGCGCATGCTCCTAGCTATAGCTGCTGCGCAGGAAATAGAGGCGCGCGATGGAGCCGGCTGCACACCGTTACACCGTGCCGCTGCTGACGGTCACGAAGAGGTGGCGCGTGCTCTATTGGCCAAAGGTGCACGTGCAGATACCGTGGACGCTGTGGTAAGTTTTCCCTATAGCTCTATCAATCGTAAATTAGAACTACCTACTAATGCTTTGCAAAAAAGTACCTACTAAACCTGCATTTTATTCGATTTTCATACAGTGAACACCCAAAGTAGTTCGTCCCCCCTTTCTAAACTAACCTCGGAACGCACTCAGGTATTTACTTGAAATATACAGGTGAGTATTAGGGAGCCAAATAGTACCTATTTACACAATTGACAGCTCATCTTGAAAAAAATTCATGAAAAGAGGTTTGGAGTGATAACTCGTTTTGAAGATCTTTTTATGTCAAACATTCTCCAATTCTGAGAAGTTTTAGTCCAGTATTTTCCAAATAAGTACCATAAAATCGGTCTCTAGTACTTTATAACACCTGTTTAAAATGCACTTTTTACTTTTCACCTATTAGAGTGCTATTATATGTCATAGGAGTCATAGGTTTGTTACAATCTGAGTTTGTTAGCTATTGGATGTTGATTGTTGCTGTCTCTGTCTCGTACTTTTTAATATCTGAATTTTTGACTCTCAGAAAATATTCTTTGCACAAAGTTTACTAAAATGGCTCGTTATTTACAAGATAAATTTATACCGGTTATTATTTTTGGCGAAATTAATCGAAAATACGATGCTGCTGTTCGCATGTTCAATGAACGCTATTCGGAACGCCAAATATGCAGGAAATTTTTACGAAAACTAATTTCAAAATTTCAAGAAACGGGTATATGTTCTTATACGGTAAGAGACTGGGAGGTGAAAATTATGGAAGATGTGAATGAAAGTCCTGGTCTTAGCTTTTCATTTAAATTGTAGCGAAGAATAATGAAAATTATCCGTGTTATAATCTTTTCTGATTAAAAAACAATTAAAATACAACAAATCTATGATATCACATCTCCCCAGCCACCTCCTACACTACATCACAGGGACGTAGCAACAAGGCGTGCAAATCGTGCCGCGCACAAGGGCCTAGGCCCCAAAGGGGCCCGGCGCGGCGCGTCCTGTCGCTTTTTAGACGCAACATACAAGAAAAAAAATCAATATTCGCATTGGCGATTTTAAACCGAAACAGAAAACTGTAATATCGATCTGTACAAATTTCTTTTCAGTCAGTCTTCCGACTCCTAGTACTCGTGTCAATACTGTCAATTGTCAATCTCAGTCGTGTAGTAGCTTTCAAAAATGTCTATTTTACGGACCCATTTCAGTCCGTAAAATGCTTCATTTTCGGCCTAGTCCCTAAAAGTCGTTATAGCAATTAGGAAAAAAATTTACCTGGCGCTCTTGCCACAACAATGCCAATGCGTAATCAGTTTAAAATTTTTAATGTCACATCTACTCCACATTTTTGTCAACGGAATTCAATCAATTTTTTGAGTTTTTCAGACTCATAAAAAATAGTATATTGCGTGAGGAGTCCGGAAAGTACTGTTTTTTGGACGAGTAGACAAGATTCCAGTCTGCGAGTACGAAAAAACACTTTCCGGGAGTATTAGGTATGCTATTTTTTCGGCCGGAAAGAACATACTTTCCAGACTAGGTCGGAAAATAATCACTTCTTGGCCTAAGTAATCACATCCCGGCCTAGGCTGAAAAAGGCATTCTTTCTTAAGTTAAACGCTTTCGGAAAGTATGTACTTTCAGAACGGTTGCCGAAAAACCTTATTTTAGGTACTTGTTACAAAAATAGCTATCGTCTGTTAACCCTCCAAAAATTTCTCGCCTACGAATTTGCCATGCGCCATTTTGCCCATAACTCCATCCCCCCCTCTCGTCAATAAATTTGAAAATTTGAACCTTCCGATGCCTATGGTGGTTGGTGAAGGGGGCCCGCTGTACTCTAGTCATGCACCAGGGCCCGGTTTTGACTTGCTACGTCCCTGCTACATCACCAACGGCACACAACAGCACGCTATGTATTGTAAGTTGCCAGCTTCCAGGCCACACCGCGCCATCTCTGTTGACACCTTAAAAGTTTTTGCAACATTCTGAAAATCATTAATGTCCTCATTAATACATACTCCGAAAAGGATTCCCTGATAGCAACCGCTATAACTCAATCATCATCATTCATTCACTCATTGACCCCTTTAGGAGAAGCCGGGCCCGTTGCGTCCACCGGTACCGTGCTCCTATATCTCCGTGACGAGTCTGCGGCCACAAGAAATCTCCTATTCTTATACCCTCGAACACTTCTGACAGCTGTGATCAGCTAGCGATCGTTATCACATACCCTTAACACCCTATAGGGGCCTCCATAACGCCTTGTGAGCTTTGAATTTACCCCTTCAGTGACAGTATACGTGTTGCCTGCTCGCCACAACATTAAGTCGCCTTGTCGATAGTCGGTGGTAATCTTTCGCCGTTTATTATACGTCTCCTCCATTTTCTCACCCTAAGGTCAAATTTTATTTTCGCTGCGTGACGCCTCTTATGGACATCCTCGGATCCACTAAATTACTCCCTGTGATCTCCTTGATTGCCTGTCATTGCAACCTTCCACGGACGGCTCGCCTCTTTGACGGCAGGCCCGGTCAATTACCTCCTCGATGCGCGCCTCCTTATTACTTCTCCAGATGGTATATATCCGAAAACAGTTGTACCTCCACTGTACGCAAACATTAGTCCTGATTCCTGGTGGCACTTGCCGTGTGAAGCTGTAGATTGTGTTATTAATGCCCTACGCCACCTGTGGTATCATTTCATCCCAATAGGCCTCATCATCCACTGACGCCATAATAGCTTCCGTAAGGGTATGGTTGGTCGTTTCGACTTGTCCATATGCTCTAGGTGTGGCAATAGCATTCAACTCCCTAAAGGCTGCGCTCATACATGCACCTTGCCACTGTCGCTCTCCTCGGCTCGTACAGTCTTGACCGCATGTAAAATTACAAACTAAGTGAATGCATCTGTCACTACAAGATATGCATTTCCTTTGACACTTCGTACAAAAGGCCTCAAATAATCAGTATGGACCGTGTCAAAAGGTTTTGCAACCTTTTCAATCGGGTGTAAGCCTCCTTCTGCTTTCCTGTAATCACCTTCACTAAAAGCACACTCCATGGTTCACATATTTTCGTATGAAGAGCCTCATGCGTGGGAACCAATAATAGGTTCTCTTCACAAGGCTGAGACACCTCTCAAACCCTAGATAACCCACATCGTCATGACATTTTCTCAATAGGCTGAACGCTGCCGCCGTAGCCACGTACAATCGTTTTCCTTCCAGGGTTTTACGATAAACTCTCCCATTTTCCACTTTGAAGTCCGCATTGAGTTGCTCATCTGCTATTCCTTACTCCAGACTGGCATGAATCTGACGGACTCCCTCGTCCTGAAGCTGAACAGCAAAAACCAGTCAGTCTCCCTGACGTTGACTTGTACTGGGTGCCTGCTCAGCGCGTCCACATGTTGCATCCGCGCTCTCGGTCTGTACTCAATGGTGAACTCAATTTCCTGGATGCTCAACCACCACCGAGCTACCCGCGGTTCACGTCCTTTTTCTCAGAAGCTGCCTGAAGAACAGCGCAATTGTATCTAGCTTGAACGGTATGCCTACCAGATACACTCGAAAACGCTTGTTCGTTTGGACTGCTGCCAGGGTATCTAGGTTATAACTATGGTACATCTGTTCTGCCGGAGTTGTCACGCGGCTATAATACATCACTGCTTTCAACTGGTACCACTTTGCTTCTGCAATAACAACATCCCTCCGAGTCCTATTTTACTGGTGTCTGTATGGACTTCTGTTTCAATACCGGGGTTGTATAACGCCAGAACGGGTCTGTCCACTAGTGCTCTTCCTTTATCCTTAAAAGTCTCTTGTTGCTTCTCGCTTTACGTCCATGGCACATCTTTCTTTCTCAATTGGCTCAAAGGTCTTGCATTTGCCGCAAAATCTCTGATGAACTTCCTGAAGAAGCTCGCCAATCCCAGGAACTGCCGCACTTGATGGACTTGTTTTGGCTCCGGAAATTCTTTAACTGCCCTGATCTTTATATCTCCTGGACGTATACCTTGTGCAGACAGCTCATGAGCTAAATAGTCAAGCTGCTGCTTGAGAAAAAACACTTTGTCAGGTTTAATTTAAAACCCGCCTCTATGATTTTATCTAGCACTCCCTGAAGCCGTAATACACCCTCCTGAACCGTACGAGATGGAATAAGAAGGTCATCCATGTAGGCTCTCCGCGCATGCTTCCAAGGATTTTGTTTATTGCTCGCTGAAAAACTGCTGGACTGTTGGCCAACCTGAAAGGTATTCGAAGATATTCATACTGCCCGTATGGAGTAACAAACGCTGTCTTATACGTGGACGCAGGATAAATAAGTACCTGATGAAATCATGCCACAAGGTCCAGTGTTGTATAATAGCGTTTCCCAGCCAGCTTGTCCAGTTGGTCCTCCAGTGGCATAGTGTACCTGTCTTTTACAGTAATTTTGTTCAACTCCCGGTAGTTGACACACATCCTAATGTCGCCATTCTTTTTTGGGAGTATGACCAGTGGAATGGAGTTCTCCGACTCGTTCAGACTCTTCACACTTTAACACGCTTCGATCTGGCCAACCGGTAAGGACGCCTCACTATAGTTTTGTCACTAGTCAAATGTATTTCCATCTCACCCAAATTGGTAGTACCTACATCATTTTCTTTTACGGCAAAACAATCTGAATATACGTTAAGTACACTGAGTAATAAATCACGTTCACATTCAGCAAGCTCTCCCAGATCTAATACAGACATTTCTTCTCTAATACTAGATATAAAACTCACCATGCCCACTCCCACAGGATTTCGCTTTGTTCCAAACAATCAGGCTGGAATCTGAAGCACCTCGCTCTGCTCACGCCTTTCTATGTACACCTCGATAATAGTAAGGCTTGGTGCCAGTACGACTCCTCGTACCAGTTTCACATTTGCTTTTCCGGTTACCTCCGACCTCCATGTTACCTAGCTGCCGAACCAGTTCTATCAACTCCACACTGTCCCCGCGAACCTCCAAGAGTAAGTGACCTCCATTTAGTGTCGGTTGCCCAAGAATTAAATCAATATGTATATCATTTATAACCGCCTCCACTTCAAGTTGACACTGGTCAACTGAAATGGACAAGGACACTCTCTCCAGTGCCCTTGTACTACCACCTCCAAATCCGTGTAACACCAAATTGGTGGCTTCAGTAGGCAAAAAGAGCCGTCATGCACAGGCACTCGAGAGCACATTGTATTCGCTATCCGTCAGCCAGCGGGGCACCATCTGCAGTCGCGGTCCACTTTCTGTAAGAAGGAACTGTTTTATGTAATAAGCTCAACGTACCACCTCTTTGATTAGCTTCAGTCCTGCTTCCGCCGCTGCTACGTTCCTGCTCCGCTTGTTTTTTAGGACAGTCCCGCATGTAATGACCTTCCGCTTTGCAATATCTACAACGGTCGTCCGTCCGCTGCTGCGGACAGTCACGTCCTAGGTGTCCCTTTACTTGACAGTTGAAATAACGGACCTCCGTGATCGTGCCGATCGTGGGTCTGTCTGCTTGGTCTTGCTGCCTGTTAAACTTCAGTCGTTCGTGCCTAACTGGTAAGGTTATAATCGTTTCGTGGTGCCTTCACATGTCCACGTGAGTCTAAAAAACGTTTGGCCCGGTGGCCTGACTCCTCGCGACGGTCACGCCTGCAACTTCTTGTCTTGACTCTGTGCGGGCAACCAGCTCACAGAGGAAGCGAATATATAGCTCCAGAGGTGTGATGCACTCAAGCACTCCAGCATCACGACAGCACGCTATTGTGGGTTGCCAGCTTCCAGGCCACACCGCATCATCTCTGTTGACACTTTCAAAGTTTTTGCAGCAAAATCGATGACCAAAATTTGCATATTGTTGTTGAAAAAATTGTCGATAATTTTAACATTTAAGAGTGCGTATTTTGCAACAAAAATGGGACATAAAGTTATTAAGGGGGGTTGATGATGTTACCCAAAACCCTATATGAGTTTCAAGAAGTTATATTTCAACAAGAGGAAGCCCCTCCTCACTATTCCATGCTAGTTAGAAATTACCTCAATGGGACTCATGAAAATAGGTGGATTGATCGTCAAGGTCCTAAGTAATGGTCAGCTCGATTGCCAGACCTCACGCCTCTAGATTTTTTACGAATTACAGCTGTTTGTTCAAAAATAACGCCACAGATGCCTCACAATGTCAGAGAGGAATTTATCTATAGAATATTTCTTTATCAGGAAGGAGGTCCAGCCATCGGCTCCTGTCTGAGAGAAAACCGATTCTTCTTTTTCTTCTTCCAGTGCCTATCCGTTACCGAATGAACGATAATTTTATTTGTTACTGTTCTGAATAGACCCGAGGTGGATGTTTCAAACCAGGTTCTTAAGTTCCTCAGCCAGGATATTTGTCTTCTGCCGATGCCTTGCCTGCCCTGGACTTTTCCTTGTAGAATATATTTCAGCAATTTAAATTTGGTTTCGTTTTTCATAATGTGACCCAGATATTCCAATTTTCTACGTTTTACTGACGAACTCTTCGGAAGCTCAGACACATAAAGCTTATGGTACAAAAACTATCACCGAAAGTTACTGCACAACTAAACAGGAATCAAATCAGGCCAATAACTGGACTCAACCAAGCACTGTAGCCTGAAAAAACACCTTTACACAATGGACATCCTCCAAGAAGAACACATATGCAGACTCTGTAACGAGGAGGATGAAACCGCCAACCACATAGTCTTCAAATGTGAGGCTCTACGCTGGTGGAGATACAGACAGATAGGGCCAGAAGGCCCGAGAGAATCTCACTAAAAGTCACACGGTGAAGAGGCTCTTAAACCCAATCAAGGTCACGAAACTGCTCACTGACTAAACAGACGAACAGGACAATACAATAAGCCGACTGTTGCAGTGTTGGGGCCACCTTACCTAGGCTGTTCACTCTGCATTCCAACCAACCAACCAACCAACCAAGCAACCAGGTGGTCACTTTGAACATCTGTTGCAGTAACCGCTGTTTTGTAAATCTGTGCTTTCAGCTTTTATTTGAATTTTTTAAAATTTTTTGGTTAGGGTTGGTGTCCTCATAGTTTCTTACACTGTGTTTATTTTCTGAGGAAAGTTTGTTCTGTTGTGATAGGTACAATTGTGCGTTATAAACGAGTGTATAGTCATAACGTAGAAGCCGATAACATTGGTTCTTATTTGAAAAATACTGAATCCTAATGTTCTCAAAATTGGAGAATGCTTTGAGCATGAAAATACCTCCAAAATGAGGTATCATCGACCCCCCCCCTTCTAATTTTTTTTTTCAAAATGGCGTCGACTCCCCATCTTTAACCATAGACCTGTTAGTTTTATGTCAAAAGATACTATTTGGCTCCCCAATACTCATTTGTAAATTTCAAGTAAATACCTCAGTGCGTTCCGAAATTAGCAGGGAGGGACGGACCTATTATTTAAGTTACCATCAAAGTTTCGATTTTCTCAAACCTCTATTTGCCTATTTCATTCAAACACCTAAAAAAATTTCCAGCATGGTAACACACCTCTACATGAGTGCTCATGGAAAGGCCACAGTCGAACCGTGCGGCTCTTATGCGCGGCGGGAGCCCCATTAGGCGTTTCGAACAATGGAGGATTCGCTCCTCTACACTTGACGTGCCAAAACGGCCACAATCAGTCTTGCAGAGAACTGTTATTGGCTGGAGCTGATCCGGACATGCGAAATGGCTATGGAGACACGGCTCTACATACTGCGGCTCGATACGGACATGCTGGTGTTACCAGGATTTTAATTTCCGCAAAAGTAGGTTTGATTTTTATTTTATTTTTTATATCATACATTTTTCAAACTTTTTTTTTATTCATGAATATTGGATTTGCTGCTTTTCATTGCTGTTTATCCTTTTTTTCTGTAATTTTATCATGTTTGTTTGTTTTTGTTCTATTTTTGTTCAGTGTTATTCGATCTTCTTTCAATCTCCGTTTCATTTAGTTTTGCTTCCTTCTATCCGTCTTTCCTTGTTTTTTCTGCCTTTTATTATATAATTTTTTTCTCCCCGAAATATCCTAATTCTATTTTTTTTATAATTTGTCTAATTCTATTCGAAATTTTTCCAGTGTAAAGTATCAGAACGTAACAAAAACGGCGATACGGCGCTTCACATAGCAGCCGCAATGGGTAGAAGAAAATTGACCAGGATACTTCTAGAAGCAGGTTGTGATAAAACCATCAGGAACAAACAAGCAGAAACTGCGAGAGATATAGCATTAAGAAAAGACTTAGGAGAAATCGTGTTTATTTTAGAAGAAAATAATTCCAGAGAGGGACGCAGAAGTAAAAAGGAGAAGACCAGCAAAAGACGATCCAAAAGTAAAGTGAGATTCGAGGGAAAAGTGGCCAAAGGTAAGAATTTTGCGATTGTATAGATAAGCTAAAGCTAAAGAGTAACAGAATCTATTTACTGAACACGTTTTGCACGGTGCTCACGCTGAGCATTTTATTTATTACAACGTAGCGGGAGCATTAATTCTTTTTGAAATGGGATATTCAACGCCGGCCAGGACGGTATAAGGTGCATTTTGACAGACCACAGCAAATTCGATTAACTTTGATTTGCTTTCCGGCTTTGACGTACAGTTTATTTTCATGTCCGTTGATGGCCGAGAATGTTAATTAAAATATGGGTGCGTGCAGATACATTAACCTTTGTCCAACAGATGTTTATTGATATTTGAATTATGTTAAATTGATTTTGGGCTTAGGAATTAATTCTAATACGAAATTGTTAGAAACTGATGGATGGAAATAAATACGTAAGAAAGTGAATAACAATTATTATCATCAAAATCATTTGTCAAGATACACTAAAATGATAGGCCATCGGAAGTGAAAACTTTTTACTAAATTTTCAGGAATGTTTCTTATAGAAAGGAGCAAGTGGTTCAAAAGTTGAACGCCAATTAAAACGATAAAGTTTCGCACCTGGGCAGTATAGTAGAGATTGGCAGCTGAATACTAAAAGTTTAACGGCTAGAATGGACTGGTGCAAGGAGGATGTCTTATGTATATTTTTTTTTTGTGTGGGTGGCACACTGTCTTTAAACTAAACAAAAGAATCATGGGACAAATTTGTGTCGTATAAAGAAAGGTTTAGAGAAGTCCCTTGCAGATTTATCTTAGGAGGGCTGTCTTTTAGTCTTTTAGAGAACAAACACATAGATTTGTGTGAATCAACAGCACGAAATACGAACTTACTATTCATCCATGTAAAGTTGCCTAGGGTGACTCTTAAAAGGTTTCAGTGTTCTGTACGTACCAGAGTGTAGTCCCATTCTGCAAAAAGAATGGGATGTATGGGGACTTGTAGGATTCGAATGCATTTATGGCCCATTTTCTCGTAGTCGATCAAATTCTTCGAGGTGTGACAGTCTTCCCTCCAATAGTTATATCATTCGGCACAGTACCCTCGATATTAATGAAGAATTAACGGCAGTACAGTAATGTTCTTTTTGATGTATAGGTGTATATACAGGTTCGAGGAGTGTCGGTAGATCTATGAATCAGCTGTCTACCTGCACTGCTCAATCCCTAAATTTTTTCGTGTCTGATCAACGGTTCTAACTCAAGGCGACATCTACATTACATCCCGCATAGCATTAGAAAAGACCGCCGATACCGCCTCATTATGTTGCGGATTGATCCGTACGAGGCGTTTTTGAACTGGGAACTCTCGAGGCTTTTGGAACATTTCTCATCCATAGAGATGGCTAGGTGTTGTCTTTTCTTATCTTTTTACTTTGCGCTGTCACCGCAGTCAATAAATAAGTCATAGTGTTGTTTTTATTTTGTTCCGGTACCATCAACTGTCCATTTATCCAAATTGGTAGTATTTATTATAGGATGTTTCTGACTGTATGGTAACTCTGAATTTTGTAATCTTCCGCCAACTCGTAGGATTTGTTCCCCGTCAATAAATGGGATAAGGTTGTATATTTTGCTTGATTCTTGGAAGGTTTTTCTTGTTTCTCCGACAGATAATATTAGTTTGTTGGACCTGTGGAAGACTCTTCGACAGGTTAAGGGCCGGTATTATAAAACATTGAACTGATGGTTGAGTTTCAACCTTCGATTGAATCCTATCAATTTGCATGGAGGGAACCAAAGGTTGAAACTCAGCCATCGATTCAGTGTTTCATAATACTGGCCATAAGTCGGAGAATCATTCGATTACATTTGCTGTGATTTGTATTTTAACCTGGAAACATTTTATGGTTTTCTTAGCTTCTTGGTCCGTTTCGGGTATTTCTCTAGCTAATGGTAGTGGTTCATGACTATGAAGCCATGCTGTGGTGGGACTCCGTGCCATGTAGAATTCGACATATCGAATGCCACACAGTATGCCGAGCCTATAAAATCCTGTCGATATGTAGAATTCTACATGACACGGAGTCCCTGGGCTGGTCCATTCCACCACAGGAGATTGTTTGCTAATTGTTCTGGATTGGACCGTCTGGATATAACGTCTGCTGAATTTTCGGATGTTCTTACGTGGTTCCAGTGACTGCTGTCTACGTATCTATTTATATCACTCACGCGATTGGCAACAAATATTTTCCATCGATTGGGCTGACCTTTCATCCAGCCTAATGTTATCATGGAGTCACTCCATGCGAAGGTTTCTATATTTTCTATCTCTAGTGTCGAAATAATTTGATTTGTCATTTTCGCTAATAAGTGTGCTTCGCAGAGTTAAAGTCTCGGTAGCGTTGTTCTTAGTTTCACTGAGGCTACTTTTGATTTTACCCAGAGAAGTGTGATAGCTATGTTCTCTTCAGTCGCCATTGTTCTGCTGTAGATCACAGCTTCATAGGCCTTTTCAGAGGCGTCGCAGAATCCGTAAAGTTGAATTAGGTTTCCTTGGCTGAATTGCATCCATCTTGGAATTCTGATATCTTCGACTTTATTTATGTTCTTTCTAAAGGTTATCCATCTTTCTGCTAGTTCACGTTCTATTTTCTCATCCCATCCTAATCTTTCTAGCTATAAGTCTTGTATGAGTACTTTTGATTTGATGACTATACGTAATAACCATATTAACCCTCCTAAAGGATTGAACATTTTTGATATCTCTGATAGAATGTGCCTTTTAGTTATAAGACTGTCTGGTGATCTGGCAACTTTAAACATTAAGGGCGGGTATTATAAAACTACTTTGAGAGTTAACTTAAAGTTAACTTCTGGATTTACATGTAATTCAAAAAGTTAACTTTAAGCTAACTGTCAAAGCAGTTTTATAATAAGTGGTCATCAAAATACACCAAGTGATTTAAGGATGTCATCTTCCGATAATTTTTGGACGGTTTGGTTTTGTTGCGATTTGGAAAGGGCTTGAAGTAGGGCTGGATTGTTACTGGCCCATTTTCTCAGATTAAAACCAACAGATTGCATCATATTGAGTAACTGTTGTTGAATTTCAATACCGATTCTAGGTCATTGGTACCTGACAGGACATCATCTACGTAAAAGTCTCGTAAGGTGATTTTGTTTGCAATAGGATACTACGTTTCTTCAGATTTTGCTAATGTTTGTAAAGTCTTGATGGCGAGGTATAGTGCAGATGCTGTTCCACACGTGACAGTGGTTAGCTCGTATTCAATCATTCCGTGTTTGCTGTCAGATCGCCATAAAATTATCTGATAAGGTTGATCTTCTCGATGGATTTTTATCTGTCGATAAATTTTTTCTATACCGACTGTGAAAACTACCTTATGCTGCCTCCATCTTAGCAGGATAGGTTCTGTTGGAGTCTTGGACCAGTAAGCATCAGATCATTCAAGCTAACATTGGATATTGATTCACTGACTGGAAGCATCAAAAACAACTCGTAGTTTAGTGGTTGTACTGTCCATTTTAAATACTGATACTGCTTGGTGTGGTATGTAGTATCTGCCTTCATGAAGATTTTGAAATGATACTTTTTTCATGTGCCCTAATTTCAAATATTCATCCATGAATGCATCGTATTGTTCTTTAAAGAAAGGTTCTCTCAAAAAACGGTTTTCCAGGCTTCTTAAACCTAAACGGGCTTCAGGTTTTGTTTGTCCTAATACTTGCGTGCCCTGTTTGAAAGGAATTCTGACTATAAATTTTCCTTTTTCATCTCGATAGGTATTCTCATCGTAAAATTTTTCGCAGATTTCGTCATCTTCTGATATATATTTATTTGTTTCTCAACTCTTCTAATACCCAAAATTTCGTGAGTTGGCTATCTTCTTCATTTCGGGAAATCACGCTGGCTACTTGAAGTGGAAAGTGGTTTGACAATACTCCTCCAGATACATCCTAGTTCCGTATTTTGCTTAAGAAGCCCTTTTCAGGTTTTTTAAATGCCATTTAGAATAATATGCTTATATTCTCTCGCTCCAATTATAGCATCAATTGGACCTGGTTTCATATAGGTTGGATCTGTTGGGATTTCATTCGAGTACGAGCTGTCGACTTCCAATTGATATCGTGGAGTTGATTGGGTTAATTTTGGGAGTACTAACATTTCCACCTCAAGTGAAAAGTTGCTCGGAAAGCGTGGCTTGATGCGGAGATCTACTGCCGAGAAGCAAACTTGTGGGCTACCATCTCCTATGTCTGAAATTTCTGCTTTGATTTTCTGACGTGGAAGATTAAGATGCTGGGCTGTGTCTTCTGTTATAAACGCAGATTGTGATCCTTGGTCAATGATTGGGTGGTGCTAGCTGTTGGTACCTATTTCTACCAATGCTGTGGCAAGCAGAACATTCTCTTCGTGGTCTTTTACGTAATGGTTTGAGGTATTTTGTCTTTGATCATTTCTCCTGAAGTTGTTGCGTGTTTGGCTATTTTCATTTTGATTTGAGGTTCTTTGATCAGTTCTTCTTGATGTCTGATATCCTGAGTTGTTGAAGTTTCGTTGATTGTTATCATTACGTAAGATTGTATGATGATGCTTTCTGCAGACATTGCAAGTTATACTGCTGCGACGTGTAATATGTTTTTCGTGGTTGAGACAGTTCACGCAAGTCGCAAAGGTTTACTTTTTGAACAAAACGATTTCTTTCTTCTACTGACAATCTTCTAAAGTCATGTGGTACGCAATGTAGCTCTTCAAAACTGTTGGAAATGAGAACGATGTCTACGGAGAATCGTAGAAGATTTGGTCGTTGACCGTTTATATTAATGCCGTTTCTAGACCACTTAAGTTTCTTGAATGCGTGAAAAGTTTAGATGATATCACATCTCCCATGGGATTCGTGTTTTCTTTAATCAGTAGGTACTTTTAATGTGGGATTTCTGTAGATGGTATGATTAAGCTATCAATTCGACAGTTTTTCATTGACCCATAGTTTAATGCTACCGAATGCCTTCTCCAA